GCGTGGCGGGACCACGAGGTCGACTTCGGCCTCGAAACCAACGCCATGTCGGCCACCATGCACTACTCCAGCGGTGCGCTCCACGTGTTGGCCTACTCGGGCCACGTCGTCCGCGGTCACCACGCTCCCGGCCCCCGTCAGCTGTCGGTCGCGCGCCGGCACTGCCGCGGCCGCCTGCGGTTCACGTCCAGCGACCGCACTCGCCTCAGGATCTGGGACCTCGAGGACGTGGTCCTCGGTGGCGTGTCTCAGCCCATCACGTTCTTGTTCATGGCGTTCCACCCCGAGCGGGAGCTGGTGTACCTTGGTCGCCGTGGAAGCTGCTGGCATTCGATGTGGTCGAGAGGCGCGTCAAGGAGGAGTTGGTGTTCGGATCGGAGAAAGATGGCACGCATCTCATAGAGGTTTGGTTGTTTCCGTTGGAATGGAGGTAGTCCAGAAACACGGCGATGGAAAATGGGGAGTGATGGGGACTCGAGGGCATTTTGGACTTTTTTCAACACAGTTTGACATCGTGAGATAGAAAATTGGACGGAATGGTATGTGCGAAAAAAAGTTTAGGTGAATGGCACCTGGGTGCGTCCGAATTTTTTAGTGGCCTGTAAGAACCATCTTTTTTAATGGTACAAGGGTAAAACCCTCATGTTTCATCTGTCTTTTCTTTTTTTTTATGTTACAAATATTGAGCATGTTCGCTGGTTTGTTTCAGCCAGCCCAAATCAGCCAGACAATAGTATTTTTCTCTCAAAAAAAACAGCACCAGCCAGTCCAAACCAGCACCAGCACCGACCAGCGAACAGGCCAATTACATTCGAATGTTTTAAAAATAGATTAGGTGTTGTATATGGGATACGCGTGGGAAGCAGAGGAGGGCACGAGCAGTCCCCGCCCGAGTGACATTGGGGCAGCGTGGACCTCCGCCTGTGCGTGGGCGTGGGCGATGCACACGCAGTCGAGGGACGTGTGAGCGGTGTGGACCTACACGTGGACGCGAGAGGAACCGACTACAGTCGCGGATATCCGGACGCAGATAGACGTCCGGTGTTAGGAGTGCCCAGCACCAAACCTACGGCGTCACCAGCGTCAGTCGTCAGAGCCTCAGAGGTCCGATCAGCGAGCATTCCTGGCCCTGGCCTCTCACGATCTCAATTCTCACCAGTCAGCTTCCGGCAAAGCCAGCGCGAGCGACCTGCAGTCTGCATCTACCCCCTCGTCCGCGAGATATTTTGCAATGCCTTCACAAATATCTCGTTGGCCCCCGCGGCACGGCGCCATCAGCAATCGCGGCGTCCCCTCTCGCGCGCGCGGCGCGCCATTATAGCACGGCGCACGGCACGCCTTCGGCCGCCCACTCGCTGCCCAGAGGACGTGACAGCGAGGAGGAAGAAAGGAAGGGGATCAATGTCGAGGCCCAACAGGAGCGACGCGCACCTCTCCGCCGAGGACGAGGCGACGCTGGAGGCCGAGGTGCGGGAGTACTACGACGAGGCGGCGCCCAAGCGCCACACCAAGCCCTCCCGCAGCGAGCACTCCGCCGTGTACGCCGACGCGCTCGTCCCGGACGCCGGCGGCAACACCCATCCGGAGCTCGACAAGTTCCAGGAGCTCGAAGCCCACACCGAGGTTTCTCCGTCTTCCCCCCGCCAAAACTCTGAACTGCAATAGGCACCTAATATAATCGGTGTTTCTTTCAGAGGTTGGTGTACGAGGGCGGCAATGTAGGAGAGAAGTTCGTGGAGACGGAGTACTACAAGGATCTCGGCGGCGTCGGCAAGCAGCACCACACGGTTGCCACGGCCTTCTTTTCCCTGCTGCTTCCAGTTCCATACTTCCATGCATGGTTCTGACCATGAACTGCTGCGTACTGCTATTTACTAATAACCTGCGAATCTGTGCAAATACCGCGCGTGCGAGCAGACCGGAACGGGCTTCATCAAGATTGACAAAGCTAAGGGCGCCTCGTTCAAACTGTCTGAAGACCCAAATGCAGAGGAGCGCCATGCTTCTTGCAAGGGAAACCCTGCTACCAATGAGTGGATCCCGTCAGCTGACACGGTAAGATTGGCGCACAGTTCCAGTTTATCCTATGCAGTGTCGGCATCAGTGGGCGTTCCTCCACTTTTCGTCAACGAGTGATATGGTTTCTACTCACGAACGCATCGTTAAGCAAGTAGCTGTTGCGTCCTTTCAGGTGTACCCGGCGTCAGACAAACCGAGCAGAAGCGACAGCTGAGCAATTGTATACCTCCAGCCATGAGAATTCAGACGAGTGCTTTCCGCCATCAGAATAAAGAACCATACTGGTTGTCCAAGATCAAGGATGCCCGTATCTTTACTATTCTGCGTCGAAATTCTTGTAATTTTTACTTGGAAAAAAGCGTGCTACGAGTTAGATTTCTGTGCTCTGGCTGTAAATGGCAAGGAATAAAGTTTTAATCATGGTTCAGCAGTCAATCAATTTCTGTGCTCTAATTCTAAGGCTCTAGAAACAATCAAACCTTCAAAATAAACTAAAATAAACTAGGTGAGAATTCTATGTCGTTTTGAAATTGCCTTCAACCACACCGAGCAGAAAGAGGTGGTAAGATTAGACCAATCACAGAAAGCAAGAACATGGTATTTATTAGAACTGGTCGAAACGGTTATTAATACATCCGTTCGCTTCGCTAAAAAATTAAGTCGAAACACTGTTCCGGCTGATTTACGGCGAGAGAAAAACACTGTTCCGGCTAAAAAAACAAATTGAAAAAGATGGATTATAAGAGAAACAAACAGACCATATCGCTCTGTTCTTCCCCGGTACTTTCAACGAACCAACTGTATTTTTCTCCCGCGACATTTCAGTATAAGCAGCGGCAAAAACCAAATTTTAGTGAAAAGAACATGGCCTTACCACGAAGCAGGTAGAAACTGCCTGCTGGTAATCGATTGATTTAGGCCTTCACTTCAAACACGCTACTGGTAAGCAAGATAGACGAGCATCTAGTATACGGATCAGTCCTGGTGCGTAGAGGCCGCCGCGGCGTCGGACTCGGTCGTCCGCCGGACGCGGAAGCGGGCGAGCTCGGCGTCGATACGGCCGGTGAGGATGAGCACGAACATGCGGTAGTCGCAGATGAAGGACCACACGGGGTGGCCGAACGTGGCGGGGTGGTTGCCCTCCACGAAGAAGTGGCTGTACCACGCCATGCCGTACCCGAGAACGGGCGCCGCGAGGAGGATCGCGGCGCGGCCAATGGCGGCCGCGAGCACCGCGCAGGCGAGCGAGGCCAGCGTGCCGAGGAAGTGCCACCGCCGCGTGCCCGGGTTGGGGTGCTGGCTCAGGTAGAACCCCCAGAACTCCTCCATGCTCCCGAGCTGCTGCCTCGTCACCGACGCCTCGCCGCCGCTCCTCCCCCATCTGTACGTCGCGGTTGCAGTCCCTGTCCCTTCCGCTCTGCGCTGCGCTGCTTCACAGGCCGCGGTGCGTTGCCTTGGTGAGACGTGCACGTATACCTACCACTTGCTGCCCACTGCGCAGTCAGGCACTCAGTGCAGGAAACTACGATGAGTTTCTATAGCATAGCACAGGACATCCTACTAAAAAAACTATAAACTATCTTTTTCCGTGTAATATTTTCTATAGCATATGAGATAAATAGTGATAAAAATCATATTTTACTCTTTCAATGCTGTTATAGTAGTTTCTTGTCATGACCAAGTTTGTTAGTTAGACTTAAGCTCTGTTCGCTTTAACTTATCAGCCTGGTTTACCAGTCATGGTACGGTGTTTTTCTCTCAACAAAATAGCGTCAGCCGGTTTATCAGGCGTAGAAACCATCGGCCAAACAGCTCATTAATCTTGGATTTCTTCTCCCTCCTCATTAAATCACTTACAACATCAGTAAATTATCTACGTGATAGTACAATTAATATCTATACAAACTACTATAATTTCTGCATTGAGAGTGCACTCTCCGTTATCCTGACCGGCTATTTTGATGCAAATCGCGATCAAGGAGTTGGGCAGCAAGGGAGCATGCTGGGGACAGGCGAGCAAATAAATGCTCCGCCTTGTGCAGGGCGACACGGACCCGACAGGGCGACATTTCCAAAGGCAAATGGGTAAAATGGCCAGGAGCATGGCAACATTAGCGCAGTTCCAATTCCAACTCATGCTTGCTAAGGTAGACACTATAAACCATATTTTCAAAATAACTTTTGGTCCAATCACGTTCTTTGTCCATCATCTACCGATGGCCCAGTTCGCTGCAGCAGGTTTTTAAGTGATTTTAACTGCTGCGAAACATTGTAGCGCGACTGGAAAAGCGGCAGCCGCGAACAGGGCGCCGTCATAGATCGAATAGACGATCAGACAAGTCAAGATTTTAGCATTATGTTGGTGCCGTCCCGGACTTCGGTACCAAGTTTTAGCCTGCTGGTCTTGAACAAAACTGCGGCTTTAGATCAATGATAGGAAAAGTCGTAGAGTAAACAAACAATGTTGCATGTGAATTCACTATTGTATTGTATACTCCATAATCCATCCGGAAACAAATATACACAAGATTAACAACACTACTTCACAGAATCACGCCATACACACGACCAAAATAATAATGGTCAAGAGCGGGGAAATGATGCCTCTACAATTTGACTAAAATATATATTGCACAACATGAACTGTAGACGACGAAGTTGCCTTCTTGAACAGACAGCAGCAAAATGGCACAGATGAACGGTTAACCTCTAAAGTAAGTGTCCACCTTAGCAAAAAAAAACAATCAATTGAATGAACTCGTGGTGTGGGTACAGACAAATCAACACCCAGGAACAGCGTTGCAGCATCATACGAACCCCAAGATGATTGGATATGACATTCCACAAGGCCATGTGCCTATAAGACGTTAGGGGCACAAGTTTATGCAAAGATCTCTCAGGAGCATTCCCACGTGCCATTTTTAAGCTCATGAACTCCAAATAGCTTCCACAAGTGTGGGAAACGATACACACGGCTGTTATCATGAACTCACATATAGAACAGGAACCAGACCTGCCATCTTTCCATCCCTTCCAGGCCTCCTTTTCTTCACCTGGGCACACAAAAATAATCGCCAACTTTAAAATCTGTTCGTTTGAAATCAAAGACAAGTAAAATCTATGGTGAGCTGGGAACTTACATAATACCAACCATCGACCTCATATTCAATTTCCACTTCTTCTCCAGTGATTAAACTCAGCTGAAAAACAAAACAATGTACATGAATAATGAATAAACGTGTTAGAGTGCAAGCAGATTCAACCCAGATCACCATCTATAGAAGCTGGTGCCACACCAGGCCACCGGAACCCACAATTAACCATGGCATTGAGCCTAAACCCTAAAGACTAGCTTGATGGGTGAGGGTCCCCCAAAAAAACAATTTCCAACTTGGGACTGAACCTAACCAAGTGTTCTCTTGTTTTCATTCAAAATAAAAGAGGTTTCTTTGTCTTTTTTTGGAGATATTTGACACTGAACTGGATAGTTAAAATAATACATTAATAACAATTATTTCCCAATAGTAAAGACAGTGAATCACTTATAAACATCTTTTACCCTGGGACAAAGAAAGACTTCAGAACCAACATTCCATCAAGCTCTGAACATGGAAGGATTACTTCAGGAATTTACAAGACAAACAGCAAAAATGATGGCTACCCTCGTACCTCATCATCACCACCTGCTGTGAAGTCATACAAAGCTTTCCCAGACTGAGGGTTACCAGAACTCTTATCTTCATCCTCATGGGATCCGAAACTTCGTCCTCCACGCCCTGAAAGGGGATTTTCTAATGACTCCTTCCTCTGTAGTACTGACGTCAATATGAAGGTGGTTCTTCACGTATCTGAAACAAAGGCAAACCTATCAGGAACCATATCCATCCATTCTGTAAAATGGTTTTAAATTGTACAGTACAATGTCAGCTTTGTATAAACTCAGACAACAACAATGTTAAGTAGACGTGTTTTCTAGCACCCCTTCCCCTCCACAACACGAAAGAAATAAACATAGCATAGATGCAGCAGAATATACCGTTTGTTGTGTGGCCCCATGGCTTGACGGTTTTGAACTAAACAGTGATGGATAGTTCATGCCTCCAAAATGGGACGATATGGAGGTTTCAACAGAACCAGTTGATTCGGGAGAGGATCCACCAGAGTACCTACCATCATCTTCCTGCAATGAATGATTAGCTAAGCTTAACTATCTGTACACATTTAGGAAGCATGTGTAGCAAACTACATTGAGCATGTGTAGCAATACTTACCTCTGCGTCGTATGTTTCAAGAATTGTCTTAGCCCACATATCATCATAGCCGACTGATGGCCTCGAGTTCATGTATTCCTCATCATCCACATCAGGAGCATCAGTTCCAGCACCGGCAAGGAAGTCCTTTACCTACAATTCAATCAAACAGTCCCAATGACAATGGCTAAAAAAAAATTGATGCTCCCAAATTAAGCTCATTCAATGAAGAAAAGGGTAATTATCCAGAAATGACTAAGAAATGAAGTTATCTTCCTTTTTCATAGAAAAAAGCCATTTTCCTAAAAAAATAGGCCTCAAACAGGTAGAAAGCCGATACATAACAGTAGTGATTTACAAAACACAACAAAGAATCTTACTTTATCCACAGCTGGAGCATTGTTTGCCCAAACATCGTCTTCCAAACCTGCTGCCCAGGCCATTGCCAGATCGGGATCGATCCCAGACTGGACAGTATTGGTCTCTTTTTGTACTACTTTGGACTCATACATAAGATCAGATATTCCAGTGGCAACAGCAGGATCACTTAGACCACCAGATGCACTTATGTTATGACGGTTATGTAGATCTCAATTAGTTTGGCACTGTCCATACAGTTGAACATACTTAATATCAAGAGATAGGATACTAACAAAATAATGTATCCCAGCAAAAGAAATAACAGGAGGCATCCATTTATGCACAAGCTTACAGGAACTATTAGAAAATGTTGATTCTTGTGATGGATTGCTTTAATATGCCACGATCAACTAGATATATTTAGATCAAACTAAGTAGGTAAATTAATACCTGCTTAGTTTGATTCAAATGTATCTAGTTGACTGTAAAAGAATTTTAGCTAGTTATATTATATCAATAGGGCCTATTTTTTGGCATACTTCCAACAACATGGACCAGAGCCCCTGGACAGAGGAGCACACCTAACTGAAAGTGATCCAGACTGATCAGGTTAATGTAACCTTTCATTTATTGCATGACACAAGGCTCTAGACATTATTTGTGACTGGTGAACCGAATATTTAGTTCTTAGACAATTTTTAGCAAGAAACTGGTCCTAGCTCAGTTGGTGGGCGGTGTGGATGTACCCCCACCAACCAGGTTCAAGTCCTTTTTCTTATTATTTACAATGCCGCCTAGTTCCTACTAGGTTGGTCAAGTTTTCCTTAGGCAATTTCAGCAGCAACGTAAGATTTCAAGTCAACAATAATTTTATCTACTCCTGCGTTCCAAATTATAAAATCGCTTTGACTTTTTTGGTTCATCCATTTTGCTATGTACCTAGACATATTATTATATCTAGATGCATAGCAAAATGAATAATACCAAAAAGTCAAAGCAATTTATAATTTGGAACAGAAGGAATAGAAGATGACTGCCCTTTAATAATTACAATAGTACATACCTGGTAGGACCAAGGGGCAAGTATTTAGCCCTTGGAACAAAACAGAATAAGGAAACAAAATCAAGAAGCCTCTCATGGGTTTCATAAAGTTTCTTAAGTTCCTCATCACTCCATTCCTGTTTGCTATTATCATGCTGGCGAATATCTCTGCAAAAATAAGACAGAAAAAAAGAATAAAAAAATGAGGCCACCTCAAGACCTTTTATAGAGCAACCATGAGGAATTTTAATGTCAAATATACCTGGCAAGATCATCTTGAGCTCTATACATTTCATCTAGGACCTTAAGCATTGGGCTTATTAAAGATCCAAGACCAGTACCACTGGCACCTTGATTTTCCCCATTACTTAGCTGCAATTCTGAAAAGTTTGACTGCACACCCCCAAGAGCCAAAGCATGAAGAAATTCATATATCTGCAGTCTATAAGGTTCACCAGACCTTATTGCAATGGTAGTTAGGGCTTGGACAGCAGCAATACGGATCTACAAGTTTAACAGTACAATCGAGAAAAAACAGAAAGGCATCAAATAAGATGTCATACTATCTCACCCCATATCGCCAAGTATTTGTAAACAATAAAGAAAAGGAATAGTCCTTTGCAAACGGCCCTACCTCCCAGCTTCCACTAAATGCACACCTTTGAAGCCTCGTCAGAGCGCTAGCAAGTGTAGGATTACGGGAGCTTGCAGCAGCAACCATTTTATCAGCATCTAGCATCATTAGTGCAGTACCAGGTGGCGTTGCGGACTCCCAGGCATACTCAGATGCAGCATAATTAGCGTTTTCTCCTAGAAACCAAACCTGATAGTTGACAGGCCAAACATCAGTTTGTTGTTGTTTCAAAGTCAAAGCTCAATTTAAAATTAACCAAGTGGAAATTTTGTTCTTACAGCAGCTTGAACTAATCTTTGGAGTGCCATTGCAGATTTTGGATCAGAGGCAGATACCATATCAACAGAAGTGAGTCCAGACATTGAACCAGGCTGTGGTGGTGGCAGATCAAGAACTATAGTCACAGCTTCCAAGGCTGTATGTTTCCCATCTGGTCCTGCTCCTACAAGGCATGTCTGGTAGGCAAATTTTGTTTTTTTATTATTATTTGCATGGTCATTCTAGAAAAAAAGTAAAACCACTGCCAAACCAACAACATCAAATGTAGTAAGAAACTAATGGTTATATGCATATACGCAAGTACATGAAAGCTTTGCATAATAGAATTGTAGATGGTTCAAAATGCTATTGAAACTGCTTCACGAAAAAAGGTCTATTGCTCTACCTTCCATAACAACTGTAGAACATCAGCATCAATCTTTCCAGGAACTTTAGTGGCAAAAATTCTTGCAATCTCAAGCAGAGTCACAGCCATATCAGGGGTTGCCTATCATGTAAGACAAACAGAAGAATAAGTCAATCATGCAATCAGGTAAAGGGGAACATACTAATAAAAAATCAGAAGGATAAGTGCAAGAACCATAAAAAAACAATGGGAGCATGAAAGGAGATAGAAAAATTACAAACAAATTTCTGAAAAGAAATATATCCTATGTCCCGATAAAAAAACAACATAAAAACGCATTCATCATTTTTTAAAAACAATGTTACTTTTAATCATTAAACACTCAATGCCACTACAGAACAATTGAATCTGCTTCTAATCATGTTCAAGAAAATATGCTTGCAATCTGAAATGTGATTTGACTATTTGAGGCACAAGCAGATAATAAGCGGATTAAAATGGCAAAAAATGAACAAATGTACTGAGAATAATGTCAACAAATTTAGAACTATATATATAGTATAAACACTGAAAGGGATCCAATACCTTGAACCTAGCATGTAAGGTTAGTAGGACATCATTCAGGAGAGAGGAAAGGCCAGGCTGGGTCAGACAGCTCACATGCAATGATAGATTTTAGTTCTTCAAAAGATTCATGTGGATTTTGCATCCATATCAAAGATTTGATGACCATTGCTCTAACATATACACACTCGTGCATGCTACTGTTGTCCTTTAACTTCCATTAGTGATGCTAATAATCCTGCTATTGTGTCCATTCCACCATGACCATTGGATAGCGGATTAGGCTTTTGATGCTACAGCATAAACATGGAAAAAGTCACATAGTTGCATTAAAAAGCATTGCATAGTCAACT